CCCCAAAACCCCAAAACCCCAAAACCCCAAAACCCCAAATAAAGAAATTAGGTTGACCTGAATAATAAATGATCTCAAAAGTAGTAGTATATAAAATAGAGAATATCAAAGTAAAACAAGCCTCATCATCAGACCAGCATGCTTCTGAACCAGAGGTTATGAGTAATGGCTCCAAGAACTTTGTCTTTACATCTCCAGAATATCCAGGAAGAAATCAAGAGATTCAGTGTCGTGAGATATCGAGCAAGTTTTATACTAACCAAATGCTTCAGTCCTTGCCGTTCCTGAAAAATTGCAAATTACTTAAAAAGCAGCCGAAAGGTATTTTAGAAAGCCATAAAACCAAGGAGAAGAGTCCTAAACCATCAAAGAGGGATACTAGTGGAAGGACTGATATTCATAATAGAAGGATCTTAAGAATGATTAAGAAACTCTACACCTATCTATTTCTATACCATAACGATAGGCTGAGGAACAAGAGGTTCATCAATATCCCTTTAGCTGTAACTCTTGCAGAGCTGAAGAAGTTCGCAGCAGTTTATATACCTGGTGCATGTTTTGGAGATATGGCTGAGTTCTTGTTTCAATTCATCAATTTTAACTCTTCAGATAGTAAGCCAAACTCAGTTGCAGCTCAGACTGGTGCAGATGCATTTAATTGTACTCATACGTACACGGTGGCAAAGTTTGAAACTCTTATGAGTTCTGAATTGTTTAGAATAATGATTATTTCTTTTATGAAATTAAGAAACGCTACACCAGATTCAGTTATTTCTATGAGGGACAGCCAAAAATGGGAGAAACAATACGAAGTGAATCCAGCAAAGTTCGATGATATACTTACCAATTGCTTATACTCGAACTTAGGGCCCAAAATTGGGAGAACACTGGAAAAGGTTTACGCTAAATGTGTTAGCTTCAGAGTTGGACATATCGCCTAAATGTTTCAAAAAACAACTCAAGATAAAATAATTTATAAAAATAAGAAATAAAATTTCAAGACTAAATTTTTTTCTTGCTCACTAGCTCCCAATCAGAATTTAATTTAATTACCTAATTAAGACTCATAGGTGATGCTCAATAGTTTAGAAGTTTTAGTTACACCTTGTTTATTTTATGACAAGCAGAAGACACTGTTCCCAGTATTTGAATAGTAATTATTAATAGTAAAAGCCGTAGGTCAATATTTGAATTTCAAAATCCTCTTAACCAAATCCTCCTGGAAGAATTATTGATGCCAATATTAAGCTATGGCTCTAGTGCAAAATTTCTATTAGTTTTAATCGAATCCCTAGTGTCTGCCTCTCTTATGAGGTTATATATCTGAAACTAGATTTCATAAATAATTCTGACAAATCAGTCAATTTCTAGATTAGAGTATTATTTACTAGCTTTAACCTAGTTTTTAATATATTATTAAGTGATTCCTTGATGCTATCTTTACTTTATCTTATTATGAATTTACCTGCATCGGGCATAGTTCTCTTATATCTCCAAACAATTAACACTAATAACAACCCTCATTACCCAAATCCTACCACTCAACCCCCCAAAAAATAACCATTTCTAACCCCTCCAAAGCACACATCCACAACTCCCAATCCTCCACCCCCAATAAACCCCCTCAAGCTCTCCCAATCCCCCACTTCCCCTATCCCACCCTCCCCCCTCCCCAATCCCCCTTCTTCCCAAATTCCACTAAAATCCCTCATTTCAGTCCATTTTCCTACACAAAAACCTCCATTTTCAACACCTTGGTTATATAAGGGGTTTTGGGGTTTTGGGGTTTTGGGG